AATATAATTTATGTACAGTGAAATACACAAAATTAAAGTGACATGGTCAGTACATTTTTTTTTTTCCAGTGTTCCCTCCCCTCCCCTCTCACCCCTGGTAACCAAGAAAGAAAGTTGTCTTCCATATATAAACCTTCCCTTGACTTTTTACAGTAATGAACTAATACTATATTTGTCCTTCTGTGATTGACTTATTTCACTCAGCATAATGTCCTCCAAGTTCATCCATGTTATGTGGTGTACTTCTAACCAGTCTTATCCATCTTCATTTGCTGTCACTCTACTCAGCTAGTCATCTAGTTAGAAATTCTCTGTTTAAACTCTTAAAAAGAGGCACTATTGAGAGGTATTTTTAATCCCCTCAATCAATCTCTTGATATGTTTAATCCACAATCACTAAGGAAGGAGCCCTTATGGTGTAGTGGTTAGGTGCTTGGCTGCTAACCAAAAGGTTAGCAGTTCAAACCTATCAGCTGCTCCATGGGCGAAAGGTGTGGCAGTCTGCTTCCATAAAGATTTATACAGCCTTGGAAACCCTATGAGGCACTTTATTCTGTCCAAGGTCACTATGAGTCACAATTGACTCGATGGTAATGAATTTGTTTTTATGTTGTTGTTGTTTAGCACCAAGAGTTTCTGGGGAAAGGTGAAGAAGGAAATGTCCAGTGGGGCAGCATGCACCCATTTTTATCAGTTCGTTCTCCTGGAGGGACTTCTGTGCTGTTCTGAAGTTACCAAGTTAGCACCAGATGGCTAGGCAGCTCCTGGCAGCTTCTGTGCCCCTGGGATAAGCAGTGATCTTCCCACAGCACTGTGGGAGAAAAAGCTCTTGCCCAACCTATCCTTCCTCAGCTGCATCTGCCCTGCCTACTTTCTATCTCCAGCTGCCACCAACCCTTCACACCAGTTCACTTAAAATCATTGGTCTCTCCAGGGTTTCTTACAGATTTTTCAGTCCCTCAGATCCATGCTTCTCTCTTCCTTCAGTGATTTTCCCTTTGTCAGCATATGAAAGAGCTATCCTCTTGCCTAACTTTGAAGACCATCCATAATTTGACAAAACTTCCTAGAGGCTTTACCAACATTGTATTTAATTCTCATACTTTTGAAAGCAAATTATTGTTCCCATTTTAGAAAGGAGGAATTTGAATCTCAATGAAGTTTAAGTGTTTGTCCAAAATCATGTGGCATGGCTTTTATCTTCCCCATCTATGCTTTCTCGATTCTGTGCCTAATCTGCTCTTCTATATCTCAAAAGTGATGGGTTTGAAGACACACCATACACTGATATGGCCTCATAGACAAAACAAAGAAAAACTCTATTCCCAAGTGGGATTATATTCACAGGTACAGGGATTAACATTCCAACACACATTTTGAGGACACAATTCAATCCATAACAGAAAGCATGCTTATACTACCCTAATCCCATGCTTTGGATAATCCATTAGCCCTACCTGATCAATGTCTAAATTTGGAGCCTGCTTCCTTTTGTCCAAGAAGTGATCAGACTATGTTTCTGAAAACACCAATGCTGTATATGCTGGACTATGTCATTTCACTCAAAAAAAAAAAAAAAAGCCTCTTTTCAATTGGCAGAAAAAAATATATATTATGGCTAAAATGTTCTCAATTTCAAAGTTTCTATCCACAAATTTTTATTAAATCTTTGGAAATTGTTGTTCTCTGAGTGTAAGCCCTAAATGCAAGTTAATGATTAATTTTGAGTAGCTGATCTCAATTAGAAATTAGGAAAATGTTATCCATTATTAGTTTTTTCCTGCTAACTGGGAAAAGACGACTGCTTATATCATGTAATATTTGGTTAATATATAAATATTAGAATAATCATCATTCCTACTGCTATTTTTTTGCATTATAATGTCCAAATATTGAATGGAATTCATACATTTCCCCTAACTTTTAAGATACAATTCTTAAAAATTAAGTTTTATCTTATATTTTAATGGTTAATACTTGTAAATGGTACAAAATTCAAAAGGTACAAAAAGATACACAGTGAAAAGTGAATTTTCCTCTCTCCACCTCTGTCTTCCAGTCACCCAATTCTCTCTCCCTGCAGCATCCACTGTTCTCAATTTCTTGCATATCTTCTCATAGATATGCTTGCTGTTGTTGCTAGTTGCTGACCAAGTAGCTCCAACTCCTGATGACCCGTGTATAACAAAACAAAACTTTCCCCAGTCCTGCACCATCTTCATGATCTCGCTGATATGCTCCAGTCTATGTTGTAGACCCTGTGTATTTTTAATGCCTCCAAACCTAGGAGGCTCATCTTCCTGCACTATATCAGACAATATTCTGTTGTGATCCATAGCATTTTCAAACGGAAGGAAGGTTGGGCAATCTACTTCCGTAGTGATACTGCCTCGGAAACCCAAAGAGGGGTCGCTATGAGTCGAGTCTGACTTGATGGCACATAACAACAGCAACAACAATTTTAGGAAGTAGATTGCCAGGTCTTTCTTCCTAGTGTGCGTTAGCTAGAAGCCCTGCTGAAACCTGTCCACCATGGGTGACAGCTTAAAGTACCATAGCAACACACAAGCAACCATAGTATAACAAATTGACAGATGGGGTGGTGGATAGATATTCTAGGAATACTTTTTTTTTTTTTTTTTAAGTATAGGGAGGAGCTGTTTTATTGTTCATCGACAAGAGTTTTACCCAAATAAAGGTTTTGGATTATCAGTAGCAGTACTGGGGATTGCTCTGATTCCTTATATGGCCTTGTCTGCTGAAAGTAAAATAAAGTGAACTTTTAAAATTATTAAAAATCTTAAGCATATATGGAATAGAGAGATTAGTCTAATGAGCTCCTATATATTCATCACCCAGACTGAAAGATTAGTTTTAAATTATTTTAAAAGGGTTTTAGTAGACTCTTGCAAATTTTTTGAATCTCTATCCTTGGTTGAAATGAAAAGAATTATGTGTTTAACTACAACTACAGCAGTCCTAGAGTCTTCCAGTTCATTCTGTTAATGCCAGCAGGGAACATTTTAGGCATAAAATTTTTCATACCCCTTTCACGACTAAAATAGGTTGTCAAGTGAGAAATGGTACTATGCTTTTCCTAAAACTTTGGTTGGTGTCTGTGTGAGAAACATATCTAAGTAGTAGATTTTTAAAGCCATTATTACATTAATATTATTACTTTTTAATTACTAATATTTCCACATGTAGGATTAATTTGTAGGACTAAACTTTGACTTGGTTCTTCTCATGGAAAAGGAGTGGTGAAGCTGACGGCAGTGAGTTTGTTTTTTGAGTTTTTTCGACGTGTGCAAGGATCATACTTGCTTAAAGAATTTAGTTTCATTAGTATTTTTAATAAAGCCTGAGTAATATGAATATTGATTATATGTCAATATGTACACCTAATCTTTGTTCTGACTTCACAAAAATCTTTTTTTTTTTTTTTTTTTTTAGTTCCACTTGCCTCTCCTGATGCATCAGCAGAACTTCAAGGCAATTTTATAGAACGCATCTCTTTTATACATCAGTATGATGCCAGGAAAACACCCAATGAGCCCCTCTTGGGAAAGGTGAGACAGTGTTTATAATTAATTATGTAGTATTTTAGGACTAGCTATATCTATGGCTGAACCTTAAGCCTTTTCAAGTTATAGTTAACTTTCTCAAAGTCTATTTTAAAAATCCAGCATGTTATTAGTAGTATAGACTGTCTGTCAACCAGGTGCCATAATAAAAACTAAGAAGTGCTATCATAACTTTGAATCACAGTCTTTGGAAGCTGATTTACTTCAATTATTGAAATCATTCACTTAAGGTAATATCAAAGCAGTCTGAGGAACTTTCTGATATGCCTAATGTATGTATGTGGGAAAGATTCATATAAGGCGTATAAAGCTAAATAGAAATGCTGACAGTCACTGGAATTTTTCCAACTAGAGATGTTTGTTTTCATATTTCATTATAACTAAGCCTTTTGTTGGAACTAATAGACATTTGGGATGTAATCATACATCCCAAGGTCTATAAACTGTAGTTTCTATGAGATCCATAGCAATCTATGGAGCAAGAAATGAAATTTGATATGAATAGTCTTACATATCCAAGTGATAGAAAAGTGGAGGACAGAAGATAAGATGCTTTCTTTGACTTTCTGCTTTTCTTATCCAGCTCATTTTTTGTTGCACCCTATTTTATAATTTGTTTGAAAGGCTCACCAAGGAGTTATTATGCTGCTGTCTAGCTTTGTGCTAAGAAGACAACCAGTGACTAGACAGAGAAATAAGTGCCTGCATCACCAGAACTTGAGCTAATACATAAACTCAGTTCACAGCTGGCATCTTCCAAACAGCTTGTGTTTCCCTGGTTAATGTCAACTTTGTTTTCCTTTCCAGCGACATGGAGCTTTTGTGCAGACAGAGATAAAACCAGGGAGCAGGCCAATAGTACCTAAGGGAACAGAGGTATTACTGAATGCTCCAGGGTCATGCTCATCAGAACAGACCAGAAAACAGAGAAAGGAAACTCAGCGAAAGCAGAATGATCTCACCGGTCTCGGCCGACAAAATTCCCAAGAGCTGTTAGAAACTAAAATTCACTTATCAGAAACAGACGTCAGAGAGACAGCCCAGGCGTGCCTCAGAAATCCTGGGAGAAAGGAGATTTCAAGCTTCTTTCACACAACTACAGTAAATGTTCTTCTCACCAAGCATGAGCCTTTAAATATACCAATAAAAACTCAAGATAAATGACCTTCTTCAGATAAAAACTAGTTCCTGGAATGTGAGATACTTCAGAATCTCCATACAGGCCATTGCATTTGCTTTTTTATCAGTAACCTCAGGACATACAATTTACGTAAACAGGGAAAGAGGAAAAGACAATTAAAATGCACTAAAATATTAAGTGTGTTCCCCAATGAGTGATGGATAATGAAGGATTATTTGTACATCATATTATTTGTAAATGAAGCTGCTTTTCATTTTATTTTATTTTTTTTTTTTGCAAAATACTGAACATAATAAAATATTGTGAAGCTTTTGGAAGAGAGGACATATTACATATTTTTTAATCAAACAAGCTGGAGTTTGTATTTTGACTCCACCACATATGAGCTATGTGACCCTGGGTAAGTTACTTAACCTCTTTAGACTTCAATATCCTCATCTGTAAAATTAGAATAATAGCAACTTTGTAAGATTATTGAATATGAGATTATGCATCTAGAGCACTTAGCATAATGGTTGCCATATCATGATTGCTCAACAAATGATCAGTGTAATCACATAATCACTATTACTATAATCAAATTTTCAATCTAAGGATAATGTTCTTCTATAAATTTAAAATTTCCTCCTAAGTCTAAAATTTTGAACCCCTATCTATATCTAATTAAAGGATCCTCTGGGTGGCTCAAATGGTTAAGCTCTCAGCTACTAGCTGAAAAGTTGGTAGTTCGAATTCACCCAGAGGCACCATGGAAGACAGAACTGGTGATCTGCTTCTGAGAGGTCACAGCCTTGAAAACCTTTTGAAGTAGTTCTACTCTGCACATGTGGGGTCGCCATGAGTTGGAATCAACTTGACAGCAACTAACAGTGATGATATCTAATTACTAATGTGAACAACTAAAAACAGTTGTCCCAGAATTATATACATACACACATAGATTCTGATATTCTGGGTACCCAAATATCTTTGAATTAAGTTTTAAAAATGTGTATATGTACATATACATATGTGTGTGCATATGTATATATGCAGTTTTATATTTTACTTAGATAATTTTTGTACTAACTCAACTTTTGCTTGTTAGATGAGTTTGGTATGGATTAATTCTACCAGCTATTCTATTTGGTACATTTGGTGTGCCACAATTTATCTACTGTAAACTATGTTATATTGAACTCAAATGGAAGAGGCAGAGTATTCCTTGCTGAATAAAACTATTTACATGCCCAAGAAACTTCCATGATAATATATCGGTTACTCACTATTACCTCCAGTAGTGATAAGACCACAGGTATATTTCTACCCCTTTCTCTTCCACTGACAAAAGTTCATTAGAATATAAAATAATGAGGATATATTATGTTGTTGTGTATTGGGGAGTTCAGTTCTTAAAACATGGCAGAATAAGGCTAATAAAGAACACCTCCCATTAAAATTATCTAGATATTTGTTTATCAGTTTATCTTGGAGATCTTTACTTGTCAACACATACAGACTACTTCATTACTTTAATAGTTCATAGTCTTTCATAGTATGTTGTTGTTAGCTGCATGTTGTCAGCCCTCAACTCATGGCACCCTTAGGCACAATGAGATCAGATTGATATGATCCATAGGGTTTTCTTTGGTTGATTTTCAGAAGTAGATCACCAGGCTTTTCTTCCTAGTCTGTCTTAGGACGCTCCATTGAAACTTGTTCAGCATAATAGCAACACACAAGCCTCCAATACAGATGGGTGGTGGCTGCACTTGAGGTGCATTGGTCAGGAACTGAACCTGAGTTTGCTGCATGGAGTTGATATTCTACTACCATTCAGTATGTTCACCCCGGCCTTCCCCATAGTATAAATTTATCAGGTAATGGAAGCAGTAAGAATGCATGCTGTGTATGTGTATGTGAAAGGAGGGTTGTTAGATCTGGCACCATTCCTCTTCAGTTTATCCTTCCTGGCATAGTAGATCATACGATTTTCTGAATCAAAATGGCCAATGCCAGTCCGTTTCAGCTCATTAATGCATAGGATATTGATCTTTATCCATTCTATTTCATTTTTGACAACTTCTAGTTTTCCTAGTTTCATACTTCTTACATCCCATGTTCCAATTATTAATGAATGTTTTAATGGTTAGGGACTTGATTTTTTTTTTTTTTTTAATAACATTTTATTGTGTATTTGGTGAAGGTTTACACAGCGTTGTGAACCATTGACATTGTTTATGTTTTTCACAATGTGTGAACATTCTGATTCTTTTCATTCTGGTTGTTCCATTTCAATTTAATATTCCCTACCCTCTTAAATCCTCATCTTTATTTTAAAGTAAATGTTGACCATTTTGAGTGACTTGAATTTTAATCCCTTATGGTCTCCAAAGTAAGAGTTAGAATTGAAATTCTGCGTAAAGCTAGACCTTGAATGGCTGGCTTACTGGTATAAGGCAGGCTAGAAAAGTCTCACTCATATAATTAGACAGCAAGAAAGTTTGTCTCTGCCTTACTATAGACAATGAGCAAAGTCTGTGAGAAAGTAAACCCTAATCTTGTGCCACATTCTAGTTGAAGAATGAATTTATATGCAAGATGTCTCATAGAACATGAAATTTGCATACAAATTAATCCTACTGCTGTTACTGCTGAGGTGCCTGAAAAACCAAATGCCGAACTCCTCTAGAGAGATAATTCCACAATCCAAAGGGAAAAAAAAATCTCTACTGAAGATAAGGTCATGAACAAAAATTACAAATCACGCAAGGAAGAAGACCAATCTGAGTCTGCAGCACAGTCAATAGAATTATTAAAACTCTAAGAACTGCAGATAATAGAACTTAGACATTTTTCATTTGAAAATTCTTGTGGTTCTACCACTTTGGAAAATTTTATTATGTTCCTTTTTCTGTTATTTCCATTCCTTCCATTGTCTATGTTGGAACACTTGGATCTATCTTCTGTGGTTTTTAACTTTTCTCTCATTATCCTTCTCATGGTACTTCACCACTGAGTCCTGCAAAAATCCCTAGACTCTTGCTTTCGACTAACTAATATGCTTTTCCCCCATGTCCTTTGTTTCAACAGGTCATCTATCAAAACTAGTAAATTTCTTCTGATATTTTTAATTTCCAAGATCAATATATGCTTACAAAGAGCCCTAGTGGTACAGTGACTAAGTGCTCAGCTGGTAACTCAAAAGTCAACAGTTCAAACCCACCAGCCACTCCACAGGAGAAAGATGAGGCTCCCGTAAAGATTTATGGCCTTGGAAACTGATAGGGCAGTTTTACCCCATTTTATAAAGCCACTATGGTTTGGAATCAACTTGACAGCAGAGGGTTTGG